AAGATTTTCTTTTCCCTTATAAAATAAGGAAATATACGTTTACTGACATACAATTTGCCGTTCTTGAAACTTCCTTTCATACTTTTAACTTGTCATAAATCTTTGACAATTTTTCAGAAGAGAATTTTAAATCTGTCAGTATTTTTGTTTCTATATGAATACTTTCTACCATAATGATTTCTCCAAATCCTGTTATAAGATATATACTAAGTTAAATCTCCTTGTTATTATTTGGCTTTTAAAAAATTGTATATAATTACACCAAAATGACCTTAAGTTTTACATTGTACTCATATCTTCTTTTCATACAATCTAGTTATTCAATCTTTTTTTCAGTTTGATATTAATTTCTGAAAACATATTTTAAAAAAAATTCTATTAAGGACTCAACCATTAATATTTTGTTAATTGTCCTTATTTCTCTAGGAAGTCTAAGAAACCTCCTTTTCAAGATAGTTACAGGACAATTTATTTTACCCATTGTGTGATAACGGTGATTTTATCACATTGTTATTAGTAGTAGTATGTTTGCTTGTTTATTAACATGAGGACAACACAGATCTTGTAGGATTTGTTCATTAGCTTTTAGACAATTTTTCATTTCTGATCACTTTTTCTCCCTCCTGACAGCAAGAAAGTTCTTTGTTTCTGGCCAAATAACTATTGAATAACCATTCTTTTCTTAGTAAGTAAAGGATGAATAAACACGTTAATCTTATTATTTAGAATTCAGAAACTGCAGGGATATTAAAATTTTCAGATAACTTATGGAATAGCATCGTATATGTTTTCAACATTCAGAACAAGTGATTTTTAATCTGTATTTATTATGTATTAGTATTTTTGTATCAAAAAGTTAGATAGTTGATATCTAGGCCTTTTTCAAAGATTTTTTAACACATTGATTGTGTCACTCAAATATGTATCGATCAATGGACTACCAGAAACTAAAACTTAGTTTTAAAATGATAGATTTTATTTCTTCATTACCAAAGAACACATGTCATCACATGATTACATACGTAAATACAAAGTTTACAAGAAAATTGTCAGTAAAAAAGGTTTGCATAGAATTTACTACTGAGTTGATTGTCATATTAATTGATAAACACCTGCAAACACTTTATGCAGTTAATTATTCATGTATTAATACTCTTCAAAGATTCACTAAGTTTTCTACTAAATTCTGAGATTAATATTACATTCACAATTTACTTTGAATTGTAAATTTTATTTCTCCTACTAAATCTTTAACTAGTAACATCCAAAGTGTAAATTATGCAATAATTCTTACATTTTTATCTTATAGACAGCGGTTTTATCTGACCAAGCTGTTTAGGTGACAGGTTTCATCAACTAATTGTGCGTTTCACTTGGAAAAAAAATCCCTTTACACCAGACTTTTTTCATGGCACTTTTCATCTCTGTATTTCTCAAGGTGTAGATTAAAGGATTAAACATAGGAGCAATGATGGTGTAAAAGAGAGCAAATACTTTATCCTCAGAGAAAGTGGTGGGAGGTCTAAGGTAGGCAAAAATTGAAGGACCGAAAAACAAGACCACAACAGTGATATGAGAGCCACAGGTGGACAGGGCTTTGCGTCTTCCCTCAGCTGAGTGGTTTCTCAAAGTGAATAATATAATCACATAAGAAACAACAAGGACAACAAAGGTTACTAAGGCGACCATACCAGAATTGGCAACCACAAGCACACCAGTGATGTAGGTGTCAGTACAGGCAACTTTGAGCAATGGGAAGATGTCACAAAAATAGTGGTCAAGTTCATTAGGACCACAAAAGGGCAACCTGATTGTCATTGACACTTGAGGAAAGGAATGCACTGCCCCACCAGCCCAGGCAGCTAAGACCAGAAGATTACATCTCGTCCTGTTCATGATAATCATGTAGTGGAGAGGTTTGCAGATGGCAACATAGCGATCGAAGGCCATGACTGTGAGAATGAAGATCTCAATACTGCCAAAGAAGTGCATGGCAAAGACTTGTAGCATGCAATTACCATAAGAGATGGATTTTGTCCTCACCAACAGGTCAGCAATCAGCTTGGGTGTGACACTAGAGGTATAGCAGATGTCCATAGAAGACAAGTGGCTGAGGAAATAGTACATTGGTTGATGGAAAAGGGAGCTGCATCGAATGGAGACAAGAATCAGAAGGTTTCCCACCAAAAGGGAAATATAGCAGAATAAGAATAAAACAAAACAAAATAGCTGTGTATTTGAGTCATTAGAAAATCCTAGAAGAATGAATTTGGATATGTTTCTCTGTCTTTCCATTTGTATCATTGTCATGTATGTTATAATCCAGAGTTAAGTATTCTAAAAATAAGAAAATAATAACTGTTGGTCAATGTGGCTATATAATAACATTAATATGAAATATAAAAAAGGATTAGCATGCAAAAATAGTAACAATTTTGAATTTATAGGGTTTAGTTCCTTTTTTAGAGGTATGTTGTTTTTGTTGATTGCCTTCAAGTTGAGCACAACTCATAGCGACCCTATGAACAAAAGGCCTGAAGCCCCTCAACAACCATTGACATTTTATCAAAGTTCATAGAGTTTCAGATAAAGCCTGTTTTATAAATCTATGACAAAATAGATTTGTAAATCTATCTACAAGTCAATTTTACACAGAGAGCTCTAGTGGCCTTGTGGTAAACAGCTGCTCTGCGATTCCAAAGGCACATGGTTTGAATGTACCAGCTACTCCATGGTAGAGCCTGGCAATCCCCTCCCTTGCAATTTACTGCATCTGAAAACCTTCTAAATGATTAGCAATGGATTGTTTCCAACTCAACAGCACACAACAAACAAAACAAATTGTGAAATAAGTAATTATTGCAGTTTTATCGAACCTACTAGGAAGTTTAAAAATATTTTAAATATTATCTTGATCAAGAAGAATTTTTACCATGAAATGTGATTTTTGTTTAAACTGTTTTTAAATAAACTGAATAATTGTGAGTCTTGGAATAATTGTGTCATTTTTTATGATTCATTTTCCTCACCTATGCAACTTCAGTACGAACATATCACTCAAATAGCAGAAGTACATAAGAAGTAATACAATATATCCCAGTATAACACATGATCACACATACAGGTTCTTTTACTTTTATTTCCTTTATTTAAAGAATTGGTTTGTCAACTACTAAAATGACTATATCTATCTATCTATCTATCTATCTATCTATCTATCTATCTATCTATCTAATCAATTTAGGAAGAAAATAAGTAGCCCCTGACACTAAAATGTATATATATATATAAATACACACACACACACACACACACACACATATATATATACACACACACACATATACATACATATATTATCAGTTACACTTCCATACGGACAGGTCAACTAAATATCCAAACACACTGTCCATGAGTTGGCTCAGATTTTTAAGAACCTTATCCACTTCCTAAACAACATGCATCTGGAAACTTAATGAACTTTGATAAATGTCCATAGTTGTAGAGGGACTTCAAGCTTTTTCTTCATAGGAACACTATGAGTAGTGCTCGATTCAAAGGCAATCAACAATAACATCTTTCTTCTCCTGATTAATCAGTGAACAACCCTTGAGTAACCCCTGACCTTTCTGTTAGCAATTCAATATAAAATATATTATGCCATCAGAGATTTTTCTTGGAGAGTCATTAATTTTAAAAAAAAATAAATACTCCAAAACAGATTAACTGTTTGCAAAACAAACTAACCCAAACAAATATTTATGCAAAAACAAAAACAAAAAAAACAACAACAACACACACAGAAAAACAAAAACCAACACCACGTGGTTCAGTGGTTTAAACATTTGCTACAAAGCAAAAAGTTTGAATTTACCAACCAGTGAGTTGGATGATGATGTGACAGTCCAATTTAGCTAAGATTTAAAGTCTCAGAAGCCTTATGCAATTCTGTTTTCCATAAGGTCACTATGAGTTGGAATCAGCTAGACAGTACTAGATTTTTTTACTGGATAAGAAAATACAATCGAATTTTCACTTTGTTTCTTTGGTAGTTAGTACTACATAACTTCTACAGACTCTTTTGTCCTTGTTCTTTCAACGTAAGAGTGGATGCTATTCTAATTAGACTATCATTTCCATCGTAACTTGAATTTGCTTATACAAAATTGAGAACATGTTATGCTATTAATATTCACCTTAGTTGACATGGATTAACATAATCTATTTTAAGGTGGCATATTTATTAAAAGATGGGAAATTCTTCATTATTGTAAACATTCTAGCATAAATAAGATGATTCTTTGGTAAAGATGTGAAAGAAAATGTATTAGTACCAGAGTGAGACCCAATGAGCTTCATTCTCAACTTTAACATTTCATTAACTATGTGATATTCTTAAATGAATTTCTCTTTTTGTATTCTAAAAATTAAATGTGTGTAGGACTTTTATATTAATAAAACTATCAACCAATGCAAGAGAAAACAGAACATTAAAAATAAACTAGCATACAAAAACCAGCATGTCTAAGGATGGTTTAGCAAAACAAATTGAATTGGTCTTCTATTCTCATAAAATAATATTATATCAGTAGGTTGGAAAACAATTTAAAAGTAGAAAATGTTTAATAAAACCCCGTGTATCTGTATATTTGATTATAAATGTTTATCTGTAATGATTGTTGACAATATTTAAAAATGTACTGAAACTATTTCTAACATCAATTTTAAGTGGGTGAATTATCTCTCAATAAAATTGTTAAAATACAGAGAAAAATAAAGAGACATATAGAAATTGAGATCAAGAAGATCTAAGTAGGGTCTGAAAGCAACATGATACAGATATTAAAAGTCTGAACTCTCATACTTAGGTCTAGGATTCTCAAAAATTGTGGAAGAATTTTTTAAAAATCTATTCTTGCAATCATAATACATGTTTATTCTCTATGTTATCATAGTTCTTTAAAACAAATCTAATTCCAAATGGAAAAATACTATTTTGATCACTGCTAAGCATATTGGAAAATGTAACTGAATTTGACTGGCAAAGCAGTGGAGTCAGAAAAGTATTTCTTGTTCATATAAAGAGTAAGGATACTTTCCATAAAAAGCGTAAATCTGTAATTGATGAAAGAAATATTAAAAAATGTTTGTAGTTAATAAAGTGCTTAGAATAATGGGAATATGGAAAGAGGTAGAAAATTTTAAGCATGTAAAATAGACTAACCAAGTGTAAATCATGTCTGCAGTTGAGATATACATATATAATTCTGAAAAATAATGACAAATACATGAAGCAACATAAAATACTTCAATGTAATACATAGTTGTCACACATGTTATTTTCCTTTTCCTTCATTTCTTCTTTGAGTAAGGGATTAATTTACAAAGGAAAAGAAATGAATCAAAAGGTGGGGAAATGATATAATGTAAGTTTAATGAGTTATAATAGATAAACTTTCAATTTGGATAACTCATGAGTTAAAACTAAGCTACTCCAATGTCAAATTTGCTTGCTTAGTGCATTTCTTAAAATGAATTACTGATACTGTTTTCTTGAACAAAAATACAATTAAATTATTATTTTATTTGTAAACACTGAACAAAAAACCATAGTAAGTGATTCTCTCGGCATATTAAAAATAAGTACAAATTCAAAATTTCCTAGTAAATTTATATTATGTCATTGTATGGATTTGCCTTAACAGATACAGATTAGACTATTTTATTTATTCACTAAAAGATGGGAGATTCATTATAATTGTAGATATTCAAGTAGAAACATGTGTACTCATTAAATGTGACTTTGTCAAAACTATATTGGCACCAAAATGGATTTCAGTAGAGGTGACTATCTCCTTGAAGATTCATTCACTTTCACCCTTTGCTTAAATCTTGTTGAGCTTGTGAATAAAATACAGAATTATACACTAGTGTTCACATATTGGTTAAATTACTGCAAGCTGGAAGAGCTATTATACCCTTAAGAGAGAACAACCAGAACAACACTGAAGACAATTTACTTACCCTCAGATGTGAATGTTCTCTAGATGAGTTTTAGAATGAAAAAGAAAACAATTTCTCCCTGAGATACTTCCCTCATTCTTCTGCTGCACATAAATCTAAAACAAAATGGAGAAGTTACAAACAAATAATTCAAACACTCGTTAGGCCATTTGCTCAAACTTACAGAAAAATTTCAGTAACCCACAGAATACTTTCCAAACTTATAAAGCTCACCGACTTCCAATATCTACTAAAATCACGAAGGATGCAAGAAGAAATCCTTCACTCCACAAGTAAGAAATCTGGGACTTTAGGACGGAGATTGAACATCCTAACTCCAACTATGGCTAAATACTATATAAAAATCACTTGTAAATTCTCAAACAATCTAGCACAAGATTTAGATGTGAGGTTTTGTCTATCAGAATTTACTGAGAAGAGCCGTATATAAACTTATATAACAAAGCAGGAAGTGATAGGGTTTTGAAAGCTCTGAGGAATCATATTCCCAGAAGTATTCGCAGGCAGATGTGGCCAAATAGCACGAGTTGGCCATCTAACTTAGTGGCTCTGGTATCTCTGAGCATTTGCTTTTGCTTAACTTTACTGTCCGTCCTTGTTCAGCTCGGCTCAGGCGCTGTTTCTCTGTATGCACCAACATATCACTGTCAGACAGGAGAACTTCAGAGAGCTCTTCTGACTCATCACACATGAAGAACCACTGATGATGACTTCTTACTCCCAAGGATGGTTCTTAGTAAAGCTTACCAGAGTCTGTGCCACAAGCATCACTCCAATACTGGATTTTTGTTGTCATTGTTGTTGGGTGTCATCAAGTCAGTTATGACTCATAGTGACGCTATGAAGAACACATCTGAGTCTTGTCTCTTTCTTATGGGCTCTGTCTTCTCAAGTCTATTGTGATAGCCTTTGTTTGCATCATTCTAATTTGCTGAGAGTCTTCTTCTCTTTCACTCATCTTTCCTAGTATGATGTCTCTCAAGACAGGTTCTTCCCGAAAATATGCAAAAATAAGGGAGACAGTTCCACCATCTTTGCCTCGAAGAAGTATCCTCTAAGAAGCTCCTATAATACAAATGTATCTGTTCTTTTGGAAGTTCAAGGTATTTTTAATACTCTTTGTCAGCACCACAACTTGAAGGCATCAATTTTTCCCCTTCCGTTTTCTTTATCATTGCTCTACTTTCAGAAGCATAGGAAGCAATTGAAATATCTCAGCAAATCTGAGATAAAACAGAAAGCACCAAACAGTTCTCCCCCAACAGACAACA